TATATATATATATATATATATATATATAATTAACCTGTCTAAATAAAGGTTAAATGGAAAAAATAATAATATATAGTATATTTTGTGCCATTGACTCAGGGCTGAGAGAGTTAACTGCATGATCTTGTTTTACTATACATCCATCCATCATCTTTTACCCGCTTCTTCCTTTTTTGGGGGTCATGGGGGTCACTGGTGCCCATGTCCAGCTATCACTGTGTGAGAGGCGTGGGACACCTGGACAGGTCTCCAGTCCATCACAGGGACACATAGAGACAAACAACCATTCACTCTCTCACTCACACCTAGGGACAATTTAGAGTTACCAACCAGCCTAACATGCATGTTTTTGATCTGTAGGAGGAAACCGGAGTACCTGTAGAAAACCCATGCATGCATGGAGCAAACATGCAAACTCCACCCAGAGAGGGTGGAGTGGGATTTGAACTGGGGCAACCTGCTCGCTGAGAGGCAGCAGCTCTACCAACTGTGCCATCGTGCAGCCCAATTTAATTGTCCTTGTTTTTAAAATATTTACATCAGCTGAATCCTACTTTGTAAAATACTGAATACATATTTTTAGTATATTTGTGTTGGTTATTTTATTTTAACTTTTGTTATTGTTCACTAGTACTGTGCTGGCTGTCATTCATGGCTTCACTGTGAGCATGCAGTTGTGGAGCAGATTATAAGAAAATCTTTAATGAAAGTTGAAAAACGAGACAAAGACATATTTCACCTAAAGCTCATCAGTTATCTAATATGTTTACTAAAGTGATTTACTTCCTCTCCAGCAACATCTCTGTCCTGCAGAGGGCACTGCTATATTAGCAAAACAAATGATGAAATAAATCCACTGAGTACATTTCAGACAGTGCTCAGCAGAAGTCTGAAGGAGGCCACATCTCCATAAAGTAAATGTGCTCATAAACATTATGAGAACATTGTTTAAAGGAAGCAACAGTAACATCTGAACATAACTTTACATTTAATATTTGTATCTCTAAATATATTTATCTATTTTAGCTGTTTAATTTTATTGCTGTGGAACCTATGATTGTCGATTTTTAATACATTTTTCCTTCGCAATGACTCACATGAAACGTTAAAAAGAATACTTTCACGTTACCTTTTATTTAGTATTTATACAGCCAATGATTTGTGGTTTAAAATTGTGACTGATCAGACCAAGTGTAGGAACTGCAGTGAGTTAAACATTAATTATGTAGGTCATCCATTATCTTTGCACACTTCTTCCTTTTCGGGTCGCGGGGGTCACTGGTGCCCATGTCCAAGCGATCACTGTGCGAGAGGCGAGGGACACCCTGGACAGATCTCCAGTCCGTCACTGGGACACATTGAGACAAACAACCATTCACTCTCTCACTCACACCTAGGGACAATTTACAGTTACCAATCGGGCTAACATGCATGTTTTTGAGCTGTAGGAGGAAACCGGAGTACCTGGAGAAAACCCAAGCATGCACAGAGAGAGCATGCAAACTCCACCCAGAAAGGCCCCTGAAGGGATTTGAACCAGGGCAACCGGCTCGCTGAGAGGCAGCAGCTCTACCAGCTGTTCCACTGTGCTGCCCAGTTATGTAGGCCATAAATAAATTCTGTGTATGCACAATTAGTGTGTTTCTGGGAACAGTGAACAACCTGAACAGGTAGGTTCAGGTAGAAGGTAACTTATCAACCGTGTTTTATAAAGAGCTTATATTATATAGCCACTTTTCAAAACTGACCTTTAAGTTATTATTTTTTCATCACCAGAGCAATAAACTATGGACATACCAATTGTTTTATTTATTTACTTTTCCATAAAGATGAAGTCAAAGTCCTATTAATCTAAAATTCAAACTAAAAAAAAAAAAAAACCACTAAAATTTAAATAATTTGATTAAAAAAATGTTACACAAAAAAGCACGGCAGTCCAGATTTAAACATGTTTCTGCAGAATCTTGCGTAGTAGGGTGTTAAAAAAAAGTCCCGTTTACAAGAAGTGGACACTTTTTGTTCAGAACATTCAGCACATCGTTACAAGTTACAACTCTAAAGAGCTTCTTTTTTTTTTTTTTTACTATAAAAAGCACTCTGCACCAAAGTACACAAACTCACACATCATCCTTTTTACATACAGCTTTAGTGTACTAATAGAAATGAGCACTCTATTAAAAAAACCTACAGCTGTCTCTACAATAGAACCAGCTCCCAGTTTTGTTCCATGACAAAGTAATCTGTTTGCCTTGGTAATGAGGCCTTTCTGTTTGGGAAGACCATACGGTACACTGGATTATTTATTTTGTAATTCTTCTAAAGTCAACAAACAAATAAATAAATGTCCTCTCTTCACCTTTAATAAGCTACTGGTAAGTATGAATTATAAAACCAGCATTGCATGCCAGTAACTTCCTCACTCGCATAGTTTAGGACTGTGTTCTTTTGGTTTGCACCATTGTGCGCTCTGAGTCTGAGCAGAAGTGGGTCACGCTACCTGCCATCTTTGTTTTTATTGTTTTTCTTTTTTTTTATTTGTATTTTTCTCCTGTATGTTTGCTTTTTCTTTCCACCAAGCGCTGTCCTTGTTTGTCTTTGTCCTTCCCTGAAACTAACCTGTTGAGGAAGGTGGCATCCTCCCCTGATCTGGTTCCTCCGGTTGTTTTTGAATCACGAGTGTTCTCTAAATGGAGGTGGTAAATTTGTGCTCTAGTTTGCTCACCGTTCTGCATTTTTAAGTTTTCCATTTTGCCAGTAAGGCTTAACTTGAAGAATATATGTGTAGTTTGTTATTTTATTACACACAGACAAAATGTAACTGTTTTATCCTTAAGAATAAAAACTAAACTAAGCACATCTGGAGTCTGATCCAGTTTTTTTTTTAATGTTTTAAATCAAATAAAATCATGTCATAACATCTGGAACATATAAAATGCAACCTCTTTTAAATAACTATTAAATCAGCAACATATAGCATCATAAGTGATTGAAGATATCAAGAGCCCAGATGGAGAAAATAAAGAGGTTTATGTTAAAATAAACTGAACTTTAAATGTGAAATTGGGCAAGTTAATTTAAAAGCAGGTAAATGAGAACAAGGCAGTGAGCAAAGGATGTAGAAAAACATTGTTGATGAGTTAAGGATCAATACTGATTATGTCGTTAAAAACAAATAATCTGAATTTTGTCACCCAGAAGAACACTGAGATAAAACCAGATCGAAAATGCCTAAAATTAATAATAAACTGGCACATGATGGCAGATGATGTGACACACACACAAAATCAGAGAAAGAAATTTATAGAAGGACAAAGAGTGGGGTTAATAAAACAAGTGTGACAAAGAACTCATGATACATAAAAAAATAAAAAATAAAATCACATAAATCTAAATTATTAAGCTTGTGTTTTTGTCTCCAACTCATGGAAAGACGTTTCTCATCAAGTAGTGTGTTTTCTTGTTCAATCATATAAATAAAAATTCATTAGTCATATTTTGCTTTCAAGTAGAAAATTACTTTTCTTTTTTTTTTTTTTTGACTAAAACATTCTTTCGTTTTAGATTACTGTACTTCCTTACCTGAAGTGTGTAAGAAAAGACAAACGTTCTCGCAAAGTCAAAATGTTACTTATGCAAAAAATGTGTGTCAGAGAAAATGAGTCCTCGTGATTCTTATGTGATTTTTTTTTTTCATAATTAACTTGGTAAAACAAAAAGAGGAACCTACAACCAATTACAGCGCTCCAGCCAACACCCTTTACTGTCAGTACAGAACATCATTAGCCTGATTTTTTGCTCACTCTCATTTCCTCAACTTGATCGCCTATAAAAGAGCTTGAATCTGAGAACATCAGTCACAGCTGAGGACAGCACACAAGGACCAACAAAAATTATTGTAAGTACCTTTTTTATAAAATGATATTGTATGCTAATAATTATTCAATTTAAATGAGATGAATATGTTTTGAATAGTTTTCGTCTTTTTATACCTTTATCAGACTTTCATGGATAATCAATCTATGTTCTAATGTTATTTTAATTATAAATCAAATAAATTTTATTTAAAATCTATTTCAGATAATTGTATGTAAAATCGTCATTGGCCCGTTTGATATAACACTTTCCAGATGTTTAAACCTAAAGCCTTAAGCTAAAATCACGTTTGTATCAAATGTCTTTTAAGAGCCGTTACGCTTATTATTTTCTTTATTGAAACAACAAGTTAGGAAAAAATCTATTGTTTCAATTTCATTAAAACTAAATGATTTGCAAGCTTTTTTTTTAATTTTTTTTTTTTAACTCTTTACTTTATTTACAGGCACCCAAAAAATAAAAATCACCAAGAAGATCACAATGTTTACCAAAATTTGTTTTGTTCTTCTTCTGCTTGCTGGTAAGAAGAAAATTATTCTTGGAGTTTGAAAATTAGTTTTGAAATGAGCATGTAAATATGTTTATTTTTATTTTTTTAACAGCCTCTTCAAACGGACAGGGGGCCGTCACATCCGCACCAACGACAACAACCACCACACCAACAACAACAACCACCACACCAACAACAACAACCACCACACCAACAACAACAACCACCACACCAACGACAACAACCACCACACCAACAACAACAACCACCACACCAACGACAACAACCACCACACCAACGACAACAACCACCACACCAACAACAACAACAACCACCACACCAACGACAACAACAACCACACCAACGACAACAACCACCACACCAACGACAACAACCACCAC